AATCAGCATGTTTCAAAAGAGTCAGTCTTCACAAAAACACAAATTGCTAGTGTGTGGTCAATGGTTGCACCTTTTTCATCTGGAGTCAATAAACGGCATTCTCGAACAATTCTTTCACGTAACTCTTCTAGAGATGCGGGTTTTGTTGCAAATACCTTCGATTTCAAATGTCCTCACCGAAAGAAATCCAAGGGAGTTCAATCGGGTGACCTAGCGGGCCACTCCACAGGACCTCTTCTTCCAATCCAACGCTCAGGAAACCGATTAACCAAAAATTGACGGACTGCTATAGCAAAATGTGGGGGTGCCACATCCTGTTGAAAAAACAGTTCGCCCTCTAAAAGATTATACCCTTCTTCGAGAATTTGGGTAATCATTGGGTCGATGTTATTTTCTAACAAATCGAGGTACCTTCTGCCATTTAAATTGTCAGGAATAAATAACTGCCCGACAATGTGATCTCCTAAGATGCCAGCCAAACATTTAACTTCTGTGGCCTTTGGGTATGAGTTTCCACGAACAAATGTGGATTGGTTTCACTCCAATACATACAATTGAGCCTGTTTACCTCGCCATTTAACTGAAATGTCGTATCATCAGAAAAACACGTATTGTACAGTAGATTGGCATTACCGTTTAATTGTTCACTAAAAATCTCACAGAATTCAAGCCGACGATCGGGATCATCTTCGTTTAATTCGTGTACCAATTTAAATTTATATGGATGAAATTTGTGGGCCTTTACAATTCGATGAACACTGCTTCGTGATACATCGGAAGCCTAAGCTACTTTCCTGATCGATTGAGTATTATCCATCTGCAAATGACTCAGAACTTCCACTTCCTAATCGGTCGCTGAGGTTCATGCTTTTTGTTTCCTACAGAACCTGTTTCCATAAATTTTGTCAATAATTGTAAAACATACTGAGAACCAGCCCTTCTATCTGGGTGATTTCTATTGAATATGCGCTCTGTAGCTCTAGCACAATTATCGTTTTTAAAATAAATGCTGACAATTTCTTTTCTCTCCTGAAGGGTATAAACCAATTTGAGAACTCACTCTGGTAAAATATATCTGGATTTAAAATTGGTCCTGAACAAATTAAATTAATGTTCAAGGACTATCAAATACTTATGTGTCTTTTATTATTCTAAAACTAAACGGACAAGGAAAGTGTTTGTTGTCGAAAAAACTCGTGTTGATTTGAGAGCACTAAAAAATGTAGTTTTTTTATAAATTCCAATACCCAGTGCCGTGTATTTTAGATTTTTTAGAGAGTGTAATCATCAAAAATAAAATTGTTTTCCTTGAGAACGAATCGATAAAAGTAAAAACAAAATACACAGTTATGTAGGGAATTGAGTTGTATCACTCGACCCCCCTTGCCATTTGAATTTTTTTGAGGAGGTGGCCGTGTAGGGTAGAGGGATGATGATAAGTACACAAGTATTACATTAAAATATATCCCCCGTGGAAACAAGGTCGACGTGTTTAACCAATTTTTCAAGAAAATTTTATCTCCAAAGTTATTCAGGGTGCCTACATTTGATTGGGACACCCTGTATACGATTGTGTATATTAAGAACAATAGTGTTCCTAAGATGAAGCCTTGTGGAACTTCTGATTTTATTATCTGAGCCGGAGAATACTCACCTGTTCATAATCAAAGTAGTTTACTGTCAAAGCTGGTCTTGTTTAATATCAATCTTGAAAAGTTATCATTATGTAAATGCAAAGTAACCCCGATATAAAAACGACCCTAAACAAAACAGTAATTTTTTATTAAAGTTTAAATCAAAAAGTAAAAATCAAAGATAATTTTTAAAACATGAGTTAATTAAAAAAAGTTACGGTGTACTGTATCGCGACTACTAATGATCAGTTTTTTCTACTACTAATGTATATAATATCATAAACACTTAACAGCTTCAAAATTATCTGGGAAATCTAAATATAAACCGTTTAACGGACCCTTGTTCAGAATGTCTGTTCATAATATGAGCTTTTTATATCGCCTCGCAGTTTACACATAAAACACTTGTAGTCATTTATTAAAAATGTGTACAAAACATTTTAAATTTATCAGGATTTGTTCATTTTCATGTCGATGTAATACTTTCTCTGATAGATGGACATTTTACAAACATAGCGGAATATCAGACCTTAGATTTTGTTCAATTTCAATATCAAACAAAGTCGACGGTATAAAATTCAATATCAGAATCCTTCGGAAGTACACTTGGTCGCTGATGGCTTTGCCAGAATCGTAAATACGCTCTGATAAAAGTATAATCCACTAGATTGTTCAATAAGTTTATACAAACATGATATTAATGAAAGCTATTTACATTCAAAAACTGATGCAACCATTAATTTTTTGAATATTATCTTTATGCACACTAATTTTTTTTTTTTATAAAATACATGAAAACAGTTATTTTTTTACTAAAAAAAATTTCAACTTTTACAGTGTTAAAGAATATGTACAGTGTGGGAAAATTTCGATGTTTGTATAGGGTACCTCGGTAACTCTAAGAGATACAAAAAAATGGAAGACACATTCTCGATCTCTTTTTAACACGCTTTTATTAGCTTCACTTGTATGTTTGTTTGTTTGTTTGTTTGTAACCGACTCCTTGGGGTCGATTTTGACCCATTTTAAACGGACAGATGTAATTGAAACTTTGTACACTTACGAAGAACCGGTAACAATACAATAATTTGATAAGTTTATATCATTATCCTGATCAGGATCGCCAGTCCTTTCCTCACGTATCCTCTGCGTGAGAGCAAGAGGCTTAATATTGTAAGTATATTCCGTGATTCTTAGTTCGGTCGTTGGCCGAGCAGGCAAGTCTTAGTCGACGCGAAACGACTGACTCCTCGGGCGTGAGTTCAAATCCCATGGCTGAAATAAAAAAATATTTTTTTTTTCAGAAATATCTGTTGGATCGTAATATGTTATAATATCAGCATCAATAAGCAATATAAATATAGTTTAAAAAAACTATAAAACACGCTTTCATAGCACATCAAACTGAAAAGTGAAAAATAAATATAGTTTAAAAAAACTAAAAAAAGACGCTTTTAAAGCACATAAAACTAAAAAAGTGAAAAATAATTATTAATATAAACTGAAAACAATAATGAACGAGAAATACTAGTATTATTGTGAAAAAGGCGTGGGTTGCTCGATATACGAAAAATATGGCACAAAGCGCCCCACGCTTTTTTCACAATAATACTAGTATTTTTCGTTCATTATTGTTTTCAGTTTATATTAATAATTATTTTTTCACTTTTTAGTTTGATGTGCTTTAAAAGCGTGTTTTTTAATTTTTTTAAACTATATTTATTTGGTGACGAATTCACTGGCGAAAACAAAAATTTATTATCGTCTTCTGTTTTCGAGTTATAAACAAAAATTTGATTTTTCGACTTTTAGACACGTCAATATCTTGGTTGTTTGTAAAGTTATGAAAAAACAACTTTTACATTCTTCAGACACTTTTTTCTGTGTAATATAGTGGCGTCGAGAAAATTTAAAAAAAAGGTGCCAGTTCGAGTTATGACATAAAGTTGTATATATATATATATATATATATATATATATATATATATATATATATATATATATATATATATATATATATATATATGGTGCCAGTTCGAGTTATGACATAAAGTTGTATATATATATATATATATATATATATATATATATATATATATATATATATATATATATATATATATATATATATTGGGGTCGCTTTTGATGTGTAAGGATTCAATAGCGAAAATAATCTTTTAGTAGATTACTTTTTGCGTTTTTTTATATTTATTCCAAGTAGGCGTGTGACATCTATGCCAGTGTTTATCTGTTTGTCAGTAAATTGCATATTAATAATTTTGTTTCTGTCATAATAACACCCCATTTAATCGTAGAAGTGAAGATGTCTTACGAAAATTACGAGAAATATAATATGATAGAATGTTTTATTCAAAGTAATAACAATTGTGATATTGCATCCGAAATATATTTCAATCGCTATCCAGAAAGAAGACAACCTAATAAAGCTATTTTTAAGAGGTTAAAAGAAAATCTCGTTATTAAATACTTACACATCAAAAGCGACAAATTTTCCTTTTAACTAAACCATCGCCAACTATGATTCTCATTTAAAAAAATACAACTTTATGCCATAACTTGAAATTACACCTTTTTTTTTCAATTTCCTCGACGCCACTGTATTATCCAGAAAAAATGTGCCTCATGAATGTAAAAGTTGTTTTTTCATAACTTTACAAACAAGATAGTCGAAAAATCGAACTTTTGTTTATTACTCGAAAACAAAAGATGATTTTGTTTTCGCCACTGAATTTGTCTCAAAAAAAGATATGGAGAATGTGTCTTCCCTTTTTTTGTATCTCTTACAGTTACCGAGTTACCCTATACAAACATCGAAATTTGCCCACCCTGCACAGTGCGACTCAGAAATGTCCTCCGCCCCTGTTATTTTTTGAACCGATTAATTCAGAGAATTGACATTTCAGTGACTATAAATCTCTAGTATTTATTAATATAGAAATTATTGTTGAAAAAATCAAAATGGTGGCTGGGCGCCATTTTCAATATTTTTTATTGGAATACAACATTTAAAAGGTCTCGGTGAGCAGAAATTATCGCAAAGGTTCGCATCTTATACGCATCTAAACCAAAATAGCGGCATGTCAAAATTTGTATTTTCTGAATCAAATAAAAAACATGAAATTTCTAACTTTTTTGAGAAAACTTGTACATTCTATCAACAACTGTTTCTGAAAGTTATTTTTAAGTTATTATTATTATTATTATTATTAAATTAAACACCACATGTAATACAACCTTCTGTATCCCTGAAGGTATCCCAACGTACCTTGTGCCACATTTAGAGACAATGGTCACACACGAGTCCGAGTATGCCAGGATTAAGTTCAGGTTTAGAAAAAATCCTAGCTCCTTGACCGGGGTTCAAACCCGAGACTCCAGAGTGAGAAACAAGCGTCTTTATCACTCGACCACGAAGCAACTTAACTAAAAGTTAATGTGGTTAAATTTCAACCAGATTTTTTGTTTATAAAAATGCTCGACCACGGACTGGACTAGTTGACTTTGATATATATGTTGCTTTTTCATTTAAGATAAGTAAGTAATTTTAAGTTTGCTCTTTTTTTATTTTATTTTTGATGAGAAATATTATAATTTTACTATTGGATCTATTTTACAATACAAAGAAATTAATGAATTTATAGATATACATATCATTAATGTTTTTTATGTCTGGATACTTCTTCCGGCAATAGGATGCTAAATAGTACCCAAAATTTCAAAGTTAGGTAGTGAGAATCTGACATCAGTAAAGGTAATAAATTGTTTATAACTATTTTATGACAATAATAATTATTATCGCAGTTTTTATTACATACGTACAGAGAGCTAATAAGGTATTAGATTGTGGTATAAATTTTGTAATTAGTATTGTTTCAAGGTAAAAGCTACTACTGCCGGTAGCTTTTACCTTGAAAAACGTATTTTATGAATGGGCAAATCCGTTTACTATTCAGTGTAGCCGCAGTCAGTTTGTATTGTAAAATCAGTGTTTACTTCACTGTTTACTAGTGAGCCGCAGGTCCAACATATTAAAATTGTGGTAGGGTATTAAACGGCGGCCATTGGCTTGTTCTGATTGGCAGGCAGATCGTAAACAGACCAGCTTACGAGTTGCCGCGATCTAACTTTTTTTGCCATAGGCGTCGCATGTAGGAAACAGGTGAATAAATAAGAGAAAGGCGAATCACTTACAATACAAATATATGTATCATATCAAAATAAGCTTCAATTTAATTATTACCTCATGAAAATATATAAAATAACTAAAAACTGCCATAAATTAAAAAAGAAATTAATCCAAATAAAACGCAACAAAAACACTGTTAGTTTTTAAATCAGAAGAATATAAAGAATATCAAAAAAATATAAAAATAATTACTACACAAAACAGAACACTAACTAAATATTAAAAAAACCTATGTCAAAACAAGGAATGAAAACACAAAACATAAAAATAAATAGTAAAGCTCGTATAAAAATATAACATCAGAACAAAAAAATATACATATACAGTGTGTCCCCCCCGATTGAGTTCGCAATAGGTGATTAAATTTTAGATTTTATTTTACAATTTGAGGGTTCATCTCTGGTTATCTGAAAAGAAATTTTTGGTGTACTTTTGTTTTATTTTAATCACGTAGGCCATGGTAGTTAAGCAAAAACTACTTTCTTGTTATGTAAAGTACATAGTACATTTTCTGCTAAGATAGCAAAATGTACTTTAAAGATATTCAGATTAATAAGTTATACTTGAATGCAACATTTTAAGAAGATCCGCCTACTTTGATGATTTCGACCTTTTTCTACTATAACCGCATTTTACGTTAAAATAATTTACCTAAATAATTAAATAAGGTTTTTTCGAAATCGATATACTTAGTGATGTAAAAGTTTTAATTACATTGGACCTAATAACCCATTTGTACTTAGTATAACAAAATAATATTATATTATTAACTCCAAATTGTGAAAAAACTATTATAAATATAATAATATCAATGTCTTTAAAAATAAAATTAAAATAAATAATTTGAAGGAGTTATTACTCCCTAAGGCGGCATTAGCACGTCTTCGTTGCTAGGATAACCAACAGAAAACTTTAAATCACCATTAAAATTTTTCTATTGATGAGAACGAAAAATGAGAACATGACATGATTCATCTTGAATACCATAAAAATACGCATCAGTATTCATTGCCTATGTGATATTATATTAAATCTGTATAGTATTTAGGATGAATCATGTGTCTTCATTTTTAGATGTTACTGACAGAAAAATTTTAACAGTGGTTTATAGATTTAAGTTGGATATCTGGTGAAAACGCAGCTTTAAAATACAACTGAGCTGAAGTTTGTATATGGCACTGTTTTTAATAAATAATCCCTGTATGAGCTACATAATCAAATAAACAAATTGTTTTAAATTTTCAACTAAAAAAATCAGCAATTGGGAAAACGTAACCATTTTAATTTAGTAATTAATCTGCTTCTTCCACTCACATATTCGACAAAAGTAAAAAATCGGTTTGTTTTGACCGTCATAATTAAAATTACGTCATCATATTAATATTTGACACAAGTGACAGTTTTGGCATTCTGTCGTCACAGTGCAAAATAACATGCTAGTGATTTTCATTATAACCGTGATGTGACCGTGCTCACATCACTAGATATACTAATGGTTTTTTAAATGCAATTGATTATTTTTAAATACCTATAATATACGCGATTAGATGCCGCCCATGGCCTGGAATTCTTTCAAGGTTAAAGCTATTACTGTCGGTATCACTAGTAATTAGCAACGATAGTTGTGGTGCTGGTGTGAAGTTGGCACCAAATTATAAAATTGTTACTAACTTTGTTAAAACAATTAGCACCTCTGTTTTTACATATTCAGAGGTATAGGTTTTGGAATTTAGTACTAACGATTTTGGTGCCAAGTTCACAGACATACTGATAGCGCATATTGCATATTGTTTTTTTGTTTATGACTTTCTTTATGTTCTGCAATTCCTTTTCTAGAAGTTCTTCTTGTCTAATCAATATACGCTCTAGGACATGTGCTAGTGCTTTTAAATTAAAATAATGTAGACAGTAATGTATCTATGCAGTAATGTCTACGTATCTTTTATAATATTCAAGGTGCTAATACCTATGCGAGGACTTATGTTGATTTCGTTTTATTCTGATAATAGAGTCTACCAAATATGGGAGAAGAATGAAAATGTAGCAGAAACTATATAATACATTGAATTCAAGTGCGTAAAATTATTTCAGTGTACAACATATCAATCGTTACCACCCTCAAATAATTAATTAATATCTTCATGTGTCTCAAAAGTGAGACTTATATAAAAAGCGGTTATGAAATTCAAATAAAACAATTTGATTTTGTCCTAAATTTGAAGGATTGTAACTGCGCTCCGTTCGAAATCAGTTTTCGAAATTTTAATGTTTTTTGAAATTCATCCTATTTTTGAACAGAATTTTTGTGTACACTCTGACTTATTGACAGTTACAGCCTTTTTTCTTTTTTTTGTGTTCCATTCATACTACCCTCATCAATTTATGTCGTGTGTCTCTCCTCTAATTCAGTCACCCCACATACCTTAAAATTCTCGATTTTGATATACATGTAAAAGAGCACACAGAAAAGCTCCTTTATTGAAATTGTGGGTAAAAATGGATTTGTCAATTCAAGTAATATTATTCCGTTTTTTTTTTTGTTAATTTAAAAAATTACCGTTCATTTAAAACAAGTTTTAAGCAACGGCCGTGTTAGAAGGAACTAAATAATTTATTTGTTAATTTATTTAAATTGACACATAATTTGTTTGATGTAAATAAATCTTTTCTAAACGTACAATATCTGATGTGGCCAGTGCATAACTTTCTTATACCAGTATATATCATCCTGATCTAAAAAAATTATTGTTTAATTCTTCACTTACCTCAATTAAATTTTAATAGCATACCTTGAATATTTCATTAAAATTTTTTAATAATTGATTATCAGCGTCATTCGATACTGTCAGTAATAATTCATGTCATATATTTTAATAATTTTTTTGTTGTCGACATTGACATTTTTGTAACTAATTAGACGTCAAACTGTTAAATTTATCCTAACACCATTTTATGAGGCCAAATTTCAGTTTACATCAGCTTTATTTAAGTACTTGGAAAATATATTTTATTCGCTTGATATAATAGACATGATTTATAATCTTTCATTGAGAATATATTTTTTTTGTAGTCAAATACAAAAAGTTTGGGTCCCGTGGACCCCCTTTCAGCTGGCTAATTTTGCTTATCACTTTTATTGTCTTTGGCCTTTAGAACAAGTGTACCAAATTTGAAATATTTATCTCAAAAACTGTGGCTGCTATCGCGATACTACAGACATGCAGACAGATTTTTTTCATAAAGTTATGTTTTTTCATTATAATTCGTCGAGATTCGTACAGAAATGCAATACATTTTTTTATTTTTTTCCAGAAATTATACCTTTTTTCTTCTTTCATTCATTATGTCTCTTCTGGTGGTACCAAATTTAATGTGTCACCTAAAATGTTGTTGACAATCTTAACTGCCAAATTGGGAAAGTCTCCCATTAGTATTTTTTGAGTTATCGCCGAAACACATATACACACACACACACACACACACACACACACACACATCCACACACACACACATCCACACACACACATCCACACACACATCCACACATACGCACCGATAGACATCATTCGGAAAATAGTCAGAATGGATTCAGAAAGGTATAAAACGTATATATCAATCAAAATCTCGAGGTCGAAAAAAATCACGATTACTATACTTCCTTATGTTAGGTATAAGAAAGTAAAAATGATGAGTTTAAATAAATACTTATCGCATATTTCCCTTCGTTTAACAAAATAATTTGTTAAATAAAAAGATTTTGTTTTTTTAAAAGAGACATTTTTATTAATGAAGTAAATATTTATTGAAGTAACTATATAGTTGCTTGTGGATATACCACACTTTTAATTATTTGTGTTAAATATATTTTATTTAAATTAAACATTTTTTTCTCTCAGTGTTTGCCTTATATAGCGTGTTCGCTAGAGCTGTGCAAACTTTAATGAATCAAGGGCACTATGTTTTACAACAATTTTAGACCAAAAGTTTTTTTGGTTAGTGCACAACAATACGATACACAAAACTGTTTAGTAACCGGATGTTACCTAGTACAGTGTGTGGGACAAACTTGTACCTAAGTAAATTCTATTAGAGTAAAATGTCACATTAGTATTCGCAGTCGGCCAATTCCAGCTGCACTTTTTCCGTTTTTTATTTTGCAAAGCGTTTCGTATATTTTATAGCATAATTTTTGCCTTTTTAATATTCCACAATATTTAAAATTATAATATGA